AAGTAGTAGTGAGGGCGAGAGATGTTGTGAAATCAGGGGCGTGATAATGAGAGAAAGAGAGAGAGAGAGAGGGGGGTGAAAGTGAGGGCTGAGGAAGGGATGAAGAGGTGAATCCGTGGGGATAGGGGGTAAAGCTCTTGGTCAGCGATTTCCTCCGCGATGGTGGACAGGCTAGCTGACAAGATGAATAATTTAAGACGAGGTGTGGACACATCGATCCCACAATGCACTTCTGCCTTACCACATTGTCCCAAGCCCATATTCTCAGACACACATAGAGACACACACAAATCAACCACAGCGGCATCTTAGATCAAAGCTGACGTCTATCAAGCCTCCATCCAGACAAATGATCACTCTCTGGCTGTAGATGCACCATTGTCTGTATATTTTGATATATTAATAAAGCCTCTGGAGAACCAAATCCACAATATCCTTCTATGTAGTCTATATACATAATCACACATCTAAAAATAAATAATCAAAAACAAAAATATTGTTGTTAAGTTTTGTGAACTGGGCAGGGCCATTATTCTGAAACGTATCTTTTTTTTTTTTAACAAGTAGGGTCCTCACAGCTAATTTTGCCTGTATATGCTAACTGCTAACTATGATAATGGACTCTTCACCCACTGATTCTGACTCACACAAACCCAAACAAATGTATGGTCACATGGGCAATATTTGTATGCACAGCCTGGAAGTCTTCAAGAGCTTTGATTGGCCACGCCCACAGGGTCTTTGGAGCTGGTCTCACCATCAAATTAAGCTGTTTTTTTTTTTGTTTTTTTGTTGACAATTTTTGAGTTATTGTGCATGCTTCATGACATTCAACCTTTTTATTTTACATTATTTTAAGCCACATATCTAGAGGCTTTGCAATAAGAAGTACTGATGTACTTTTTTGGGACAAATATTAAAATCATGAAAAAAGGAAATCTGGGATTCATGTAAGTGTTATAGAGCCAGATACAGATATTAAGGATGACAAATAAACTGCTAATAAACGTATTGTGGGCACATTTAAACAAAGACACAAGCCATTTTTGGCCCTGTGCTGACATACACTGATGACTGTGAATGCTGCTGGCTTTCAGTAGCCTCTTTTGTAAAAAAAAAAAAAAAATCTTTCCTGTTTGGTCCACTGGCTTCCTGTCTACTGTCTAGTGTAACATGATACTTCCTGGTCGAGTCAGATTTCTTTGACCCCTCCGGCCTGCCGTCCAAACCAAACACTGCCACATCCACCTCATTTCTCTCACAGGAAAGCAGAAATGAACATGGGGAGAAAATAACATTTGGATCCTTAGTTTGCTTGTTAAGTCTCTTGCTGAGCTAATCTGCAAAATCACATGCTTTTTATTAATATTTGATTAGTTTATTACTTTGCTTTGCTTGATATTAAACATAGAGAATGATGAACATTCACTTACGCCGCATTTTTTTTAGTAACATTCCCTCAGCCTCTGGCACAACACAAGACCATTTTTAACCCCGCGGAACAATGTTTCTCCCAAATCTCTCCGGCTTTGCAGGCACCTCTCCTCTTCATTCATCACACAGCCTGAACGACTGACCGGGGAATGACCTCGCTCGCACACATACACACACACACACACACACACACACACACATACGCTGTAAACACTCACACACACATACACACATATCCACAAACACAGTATCAACTCACACAAAAGCATGATTCATTCATCACAAGCGATGGATACCTTGGAACACATGCTCAAACAGGCGTGTGCCTACACACCAACACACAGACACACACACATTGAACGCGCACACTCACACATGGCGGTTCCTATCACATCCGTTACAGATGGGTTCTCCTCCTCCTCAGTCCTAAATGAATATAAATATGTCTGTTTGACATCATTCATCTGCCAGAGAGGAGCACATGTACCGCATCCTGCCTAAAGAGGCAGTGTTACTCTGCCCGGCTGTGGAGGGAAAGATGTTGAAAAAAGAAACTGGTAAGAAAGGGAGAAAGGGAAAAAGGAGATAAGGATGATCCAAGGGCATCTACTAACTCGTCACAAAGCTTCAAATTTGGCCAAATATGCTCTAAGAACTGGATTTATTTGCACTGCATGCAAACGTACTTAAAAACAAACAAAATCCCCTCTTTTTCTTGCACATTTTATTCCACCGCTGTCGCCTCCTGATTAAATCTGATCCTATCTCTACCCCTCTGACAGCCTGCATTCACAATAAAGCATTTGGAAACCCATTAGCTCCACTTTCCAGTGCTGTACCGCCAACAGCGATCTGATATAATCTGTAACAGTCCGCGAGCAGATGAAGGCCAAACGACAAGTGAGATATGGACGGACTGAAGGAGCTGAGAGGAAGAATAGATATCAGAATTGGGAATAAAAAAAAAGAAAATGGCAGGTGATATGCTTTGGAGAGACGCTTAAGGAGATGTCATCCGGGCCAGTGGATGAGAATTAACAAAAGAAGGCGAATCAGAAAGTGGTGTCTGAGATAATGATCGCTAAAATACGTTAAAAGTCAGATCTTGACACGCTTCAAGCCGTGAAAACATCCTTTAAATGATCAGAAATTACCACACAAGTTCACCAGACATGACGTGTGTCCTTTGTCATGCCATTTCCTCTTCATCCTGTAGTGCTTGTAACGACCTGAGGGAGGCGATAGCGGTTTCAAAGTGAGCCAACTCCTGCTGCAATCTGTGGTTCATATGTCATTAAGCCCATTAGGGAAACACTAGGTTAACATACAGCTAGAGTACCAGGCTTCACTACGGGAGCAGCCGTGGCTCGACACAAAAGCGACGACTCACTTTGTCTCGCTTCCTCTCAGTTTTAGGCTGCAATTGTCTTTTTTCTCCCTACTACCAGTTTGGAACTGCATCCTCCATTACATTTAATCTTTTTTCACCCTTATTTTCTTCCCATCTCTCTGTTTCACCTTGAGTGGAGTTACAATCCACCACTGGGGTCGGTAGAAGAAAATATTCTTTCCTCAGAAGGAAAGCGCTAAGACATGCTGTAATGAAAGCCCATGGAAATGTCCTATTTGCTAGATGCACTTTATATTCCTGTTCCTTTTTATGACACCAAGTTGACGTCAAACTCGTAAAGAGAAATTAAGTTTCCGATGTATTTGAGCTCAGGTGACAGACATCATCTTTGTCTCCTCAAAAAGGACCAATCATAGCTCTCCCTCCAGGGAAGCAGGAAACCAATACAGCGTGCTCACCTAGAGGTCAGGTAGAGGTCAGCTCTGACTGTCATGCCTCCGCTCAAACCCCCGTCCTCCTTCTGCCTCCTCCTCCTTCCCCATTTCTGTGACAAAGAGAGCCAGTTTGGTTGCCAAGGAAACAGGCTTTTTCCATGGCGATGCGGGAACACGTGGGTAAGGGCAGGGCGGCTTTGTTTCGCCCCGTGATGAAGGATTCTCCCCATGCATGTTTAATCGCCAGAGTTATGGTCCCAAACCCAACAGCCGAGGCCATCCACTACAGCCTGATTATGTTCAATGGAGCCTCTGACACCCTCATTTTGCTGGTTTTATCACGCTGTGCAGCACCCACCGTGGGCACCTTGGCTATTGTTGCACAGCCATCCTGATGAGTACAGCTGAGACCACAGATCATCCAACCAAACACAGGCACCCACACGTCTCTTTAGCACTAACCTGGGCTAACAAACCCTCTTACTTTACATACACACACTGTGGAACATGCATAAGAAAGCGTGCTCACAATCCTTTTTGTCTTGTCTCCGTATCTCGGCACCCACCCACCCACCACTGTTTGGCTTAGCACAGTTGGGGAGGGGGGGGGAATGGCTGATCACCATGGCAACACTGTGTGCCGTTCTGCTACAGCTGTGATGTATGTGGTGACACTTTTGACCCTCTGGTGAACTCTGTGATGCTGGAGTTGTGCAGAGGCCAGATAGATGCCGGCTGCCCTGCCTATCCTGCTGCTGCATTGTACCATATAGGTGTGTGGTTAGCTTGAGTAAAAACAATATTATACACCTTGACAACAAATTCTATAACAGCGACCCAAACAGACAGAATCAAGGCTGCAATTGCCCTGGAAACGACCAAATCTCAACATTTTGCTGTGACAACATGAACACCTGGTTGTAAAGGGATTTTGTGTTTGTAGTAAGTGTTGAAGTTCTAATACTCTGTTGACTTTGCTGAGTAAACCTTCTGTTAGGACGTGTTTGTTACACATTAGATTATCAGTTAAGACTGGGAGCACTTCCATTACCATTTGAAGCCGTTGTCTGGGTTTGTGGTTTTCGCCGTTTGCCAGTTTCCATTGTTGACTTTGTTTTTTAACTTTTGTAACTGTGTTTGACTTTGACTGCCAATTCCAAATTTGAAACAAAATTCTCCTTTTGGAAATTGTTTGGGCTGGTTCAGATGATGTTGTCCTTGTCAGCCACAGTTGCTATAATGCATCAAAATTGGTCATCAGTGGCCAATCCCTCTCTCCTATTGAGAATAATATATTTGAGTGTTTTCCTGCCAAATAATTATTGGGTGAATTTTCTTCCCATTAGTCTCAAAGTCATTTTGTTCTGCAGTCTAACAGGATTCAAGTTTTGGCCCTAATGTTTCTATGCTATACTTCCTCTATTGTCACACAACAGTTCTTCAGAACCTCTGTTGGCACGCCATTTTCAATGACATTTACAAATCATACACACTGTGTTGTACATAGAAATAGGTCAAAAGCACACAGCCTGAGCCCTGAGGTGCAGGTAAACACAAAACAAAACAATACCCAAGATGTCTCACTCATCACTTGCCTTCTCCTGTGTGTTTCCTTTAGCAGAGAAGTCTCTTCCATGGTCCACCACTAGGAGTGCTGCAGCTTTGCACAAAACCAGCAATCCCAAATCGTCCACAGCTGCTGCTGCTGCTGCCTGGCACTGAGCCAGTGTGCAGCAGAAGAAGGGGAGCTGACACCCAGTAAATGCAGACATGCAGACACCTTCTAAATCACTAACAGTGGCTTTTTTTATTAAGAAAATATATGTTCCACATGTTACTGGATGAATAGGAAACATATATTATGTTGGACACAGATTATAGAGACAAGCTGTACTGAAAACCAAAAAATCTTCAAAAGTAAAAAAGTGCTTGTCTTAATCCTAAATTGAATCTTTAGTGTCTTAGAAGGAGAAAATAAAAAAGAATGAACTCTCAGTTACAACACCAACACCAAGCACTACCTAAGCATTTATCCATTTAGTTGTGCAAAATCTTCTTAGACTGCTGCCAATGTGAGGAAGGAATTTTCTACCTTTTCAACAAAAAAGTGGAACAAAGAAAAAACAAAAGGAACATTCCATGTCCTGCAGCAGCTCCTCGGTCCTGTTTGTCCAGATCAGTCTCAAAGTCTGTAAGGGTCGTGACCCTCTTAGGTACACTCAGACCTGCCATACCACTGAGAAGTCAACCTGCAGGTCTGCAGAGAGAGAGAGAGAGAGAGAGAGAGAGAGAGAGAGAGAGAGAGAGAGCCAGTCAAATTGAGAGAGAGAGAGAGAGAGAGAGGGAGAGATTAAATGAGAATTACAATTTTTAACTCAGCAAAACGTAGATTACGGTTATAGCCATGACAATAGTCTTACAGTCCATGATGTTTATTCCTGCCTGATCCGAGTATCATAAGTATACTTCATCCATAATGATGATATGCATGTTAACAATCATAGAGTGTTTGTACCCTGAGGTTAATAATTGTGTTGGTTAAGCAATCCGCTCGATAGGTCACCATGACACTACACACCAAGTACTCTGCAAATACTGAATATGCTGACAAGATAAGATAAGATTCACTTTATTGTCCCAGTTGAAAATTTGCCTTGGACTTGGACATTACTGAAAAAAGGCAGACAGTGCAACAAAAAAAACAACAACTGTGAAACAATTTACTTGCAGCTTAACCCTTATCGAAATAGAGTGGGTATATGTACAGAGGTTGTTCTTTGTTTTATGAATTGCACAGCCCTTTGAAGAAACTAACAGACTTGAGAAGATGTCAAATTCTTAAACTTGGGAGGGGAAGTTTTTTTCCTTCCCAAGTTTTTTTTCCTTTTTTTAAAGGATGAAAATGATTGTGGATTGTTCAACATATTATTTTACCCATGGCACTCCCTTATAAAAACATGTTGCCTACACTGAACACAGCACAACTCAACCACAAGCATTCCTGTCTGAGATCTTAGGGCCAGCCTCAAATTGAGATGAGGAGCAGGTTATAGATGTTTGGTAATCATCCCAAACTGACAAATTTGTTTAAACGATGGATTAAATGATGTATTAAGGTTATTAAGTAACCCTAATCCTAAAGTCAAGCAAAAATCTATGATATTATTTCCCAAAATGACTTTGGACCAACAACTTGGTTTCAGTTAAGGCAACTGAATTTTTGATTGTGCTCAGTTTCCCTGTGCTATGTGAGTTTGCTACTGACATCAAGGGTGAGTCTCATATCACAGTCAACACTATTGGAGTCTTTACAACCTGTCTGGAAGATCAAGTTTCCTGCTCTCTCAGATTTCAATGTCGCTCTGCTCAAAGATCTCAGTAATTGCTTTTAAAGCATAACCATTAAAAATGTCTGCCAATGAATGTCTGTCACTTAATTTCTGCATGTGCTTATGTACCTCTATATTCATGTGCTGACAATCACTTTAGGGAACAGTCCCCCCCTCCTTGTCCTGTCTCTGCCTGTGGTCCTGCCACTGATGTTGAGCGTGTGACCTTTTCTCTCAGCTAATCCACACCAAAAAGCCCTAATTACTGCTGCCGCTCCACCAACCTCCCTGGCCCAATAATCAATACAGCCGATTGGCCGGCGGATCACCCCGTCAGACACCAGCGCTTTACATGTGACTCAGTGTACGTGTGTGTGTGTCTAAGAAGGATGTGGTGATAGTGTTTTCATGGTAAGATTAGCAAGAAACCAGCAACAAACGATAAGAAAAGAGATAAAAGAAACACTGCACAAGCAACACTGACAGTATGACAGTGACAAAGTTTACACGTCAGTGCACACACACTTGTACACACACAAATTCCTCCCTCCAAGCTGAATGTTGTGACACCAGTTGACCTTATTGAGCTGCTGTTCTGTAAGAGTCCCTGATTAGAATATCTTCCCTTTAACCTTTCGCAGAGTGACGCGCCTCTCGAAAGCAAAGAAATAAGCCATCGGTTAATGCAGAGAGGGAAATGTATTCTGTCGTTTTTTCATTATGCTGTGGCATTTCACTCAACGTCCTGATAATGCCGCTTTTCAACAATAATACTCCGCTTTCAAATTTTTTTTGGGGGGGGGGAGGGGGTCATGCAGGTGTGTGCTTCTGGAGATATATGATGAGCTGACAGTGTAAAATGTACGCTCCCCAGAGCGCTCATGCTTTTATCACGACACTTTCTCACCTGTAGGTGTGTATGTGCTGCATCTGTGTGTGTGTGTGTGTGTGTGTGTGTGTGTGTGTGTGTGTGTGTGTGCAAAATAACACCTGAGGACATTTCAGGAGCAACAAAAGGGTCAGAAACAATGTTATCTCACAGAAAAAGGAAGTTTAATTTTAGGCTGCAGCTTTGTGAACAGTGTCATATCTGTGAAAAAGAAGCAGGTGATCTCTCTTTACCTCCTTCCTTTCTTCCTTTTTCTTTCTCCTTCTGTCACTCCCGCTGACAGTCTTTGATTGCATTAGACAAGTTAATGAAAAGCAACACAGAAGTGCAGCCTGCACCTGCCACAGTGGATGTCTGTGTGTGCATACTTGCCAGTGCCTATGTCTGGCTGTCCCATGTCCTGGGGCGTGCCAGCCAGTCAACACAAGGAGGAGACGTTAATAGAGTGATGAGAAGCTTCTCCATACCTTCAGGCTGAGGTTTCGATGCGGAGATGAGAAATGTTTGTGAATTAAAACGACTGTTTCTACGCTAGCAGTAAGAAAGCTGAGGGGAAGGAATAACGCTGTTTTTTGAGACCCCATTATCACGAGCCAGGGTTAAAAAAAAAAAGATATTGCATATCTTAATGCACTTAAATGAGACTTGCTGAATTACATATAATCTATATGCAGTGTCCTAGATTTTGCATAGCACTCCATCAAACATGTAAAGTTATGAGCTTTGAATTTAGCTGCAGGTATTGTGCAAGTCATTAGCTTAATCAATTCAGCAAATTTCATTCAGAAAGACTGCCTCAAAGTCATTTTACAAAACTTCAGCCAGAATAATAAGTCAATGTTTTTCTTTTATGTCAGTTTGTGAATGTTATTGTGGCTGACAAGTGCAAACACTTTACATTGGCCCATATAATGTCCATTAGAAGAACCAGCTGCAAATTTCAATACGATTAGAACTGAAAAACACGAGCAAAAGCCCAAAACAAATACTAATTGCAAATGAAAACATGTTGTAGAATAAGAAGAAGAGTGAAAATAAATGCTCTTAATGTAAAGAAACTTACAGCCAATAGAATTAAAAAATACTAAATATAAAACTAACTTTACAAACTGAGAACCGTATATCTATTTTGTTGGATTTGGGGTCCACTGTAAGGTGACTGTGTTATTAAGAAGTATTATGCCATTACTCATCCCTTAAGAAAAGCCTTGTTAATTCTGAACAAACAATAGGCCTCATTACTATCTCGATAACGAATAGCTACATTTTGTCAGTCCATCACCAGAGGTTGATGACATCTTTAATGTGACCTGCAGTCAGCTGTGGTTAATCTATCAGCTCATGCTGGCAACCAGGTCAGACAGAGTCAATAAGATATGACTATCCACTGGTGGGACATTGCCTATTATCTTTTAAGGTAAGTTGACATGCAAACATAGTTTCTCTGATGTGTGGTTTCATTATTGCTCTTACAGTGTGCTGTAATTAGGGAACAGCCATCAAAGGGTGACATAGGCAGCTCATTCCCTCCCAATGTGATGCTAGGTAACAAGTCTGTAATGCTATCCACCCCTAATAAAAGGTGTATTATATTGATTTAATGGACGCATGTGATGATAGAAATGAGTATCCTGTATTTGCTAAAGCTGCCATAATTAAAAATGTTATTGTCCCATGGCGCTTCATGACCATAGTAAGTCTTTGCAGGTAAACAGAATCAATTGAAGCGACATAACAATTGTGTGCAAGATACTATTCGCCATCTTTCAAAGCAAATAGTCCAAGTAACATAACCTTGGGATATTAAGGATCAGTTTAGGTTGCAACTTACTTGAAAGTAACATTTCTGCACAGCATGAAGGCTCCTTAGCTTTACAACATTTTAGACGGTCAACATGACACAGGTTTAAATTTAGTCCTGTGTCACAAAACATTCAGAAGAAGGCATGGAAGACTAAAGAGTATTAACAATAAACAGAAAAATATGTTTTTTATTTCGTATCACTTCTTTGCATCAAGTCAAAATCTTTGCCTAATGGTTTCCTGTGTGCAGAATGAGCTCACTGGTTAAGGTGTTTTCTTAACCAGCAGGCATGACAGAACCTAACCTAATAATAAGATTTAATGTGTAAGAAGTTGAATATTCCTTCAAATTCAGATAGTCATAATGTCTCTTTAAGATCGGCAGCAAAGTATAGACCACAATCTGTGTTCATATATATGCAGTATGTGAATATTTATTTCTCTATGCGAGTGTGAAAGTAAGCCATGTGACTGAGAAAATGATGGTGGACTGAAGACGTGCAGCCCCGCAGAGAGCTGCCCCTGTAGGCCCAGCCTGCTGAGTGAAACCCTGTTCTAATGTTTAGCTTAAGGGGTGAAAAAGAAGGTGAGTGGGGGGGAAAGGAAGGAGAGAAGGATGAGTGGATGACAGTTTGGGGTTCTGTGGGTAGACAGAAAGTGAAGAGAGTGAAGAGGGAAGCGGTTTAAGAAAGGGAGAGATGGGTCAAGGAGGAGTGACAGGGAGAGAGAGGGAAGGAAGGATGAAAGGTCCAACTGGGACGGAGCGCAGGAGAGGTCCCGCTTGGTCCCGTCAGTCAGTCGTCTCTCTCTGACACCTGAACCTCCGCTGACTGGGTCGTGACTGCCTCTCTGGCACAGGAGATATCACTAGGGGGGGCTGACCTTTGACCTCTCACCTCCTCACAGCCTTCGCCCTGCCTTCGCAACCACCCGCATATTTGAATCCCTGCTTTATTTTCTTTTCAGCACTTTCTACTGCTCCCCTTCACCAGCAGTCATGCTACTCTAGTGGTCAGAGCGGGTTCAACTCTTCACTTTCTTTTTAAATAGTTAAGTTCTGATTTTTAAGAGTTTTGAAAAAAATAAAAATAGTTGTTTCAGATTTTGCCTACACTAATTTTCTTATGAGCTAAGTCAACGCCATGTTGAGGAACACTTTATAAATCAAGAAGCAACCTGGGGCTGAAATAGATGAAGCCATTGAGCAAGTATCAAAACACTGCAGTTCCTCAATTGGGGTAGCCTCTAGAAGCCAGTCAAATTGTCAAACATGCTTTGTTGAAGTGCTGGCGTCTCTGAAAAGAATGCAGTAGCCAGTATGTCCTCCTTCTAAATTTCGGTTCCAGTCCTGAATGATCTGGATTTGTTTTAACCAGAGAAGATAGACCCAGACAAGGCTGTTTTATGGTGCCCTTTGGTTTGCCAGATATCAGACCAGTCATCATGGCAAACATTCAAGTGTCACAGCGATGGAAGCATGCAAGCGAACTG